GAGGCTTTTGATCACGAAGGAAACTTGAACCGAGTTACGTGTTCAGGGAAGAACCCAGTGAAAGGGGGAGAAAATGCAGGTGTCTAGGTCAGGGAATGATTTAAAGGAATCTTCTCGTTCAATTCCCTCATTTTTATAGATGAGAAAGTTAAGTCACACAGCCAACTAAGTGGCAGAGTTGGGTGGAAAAGTCAGGTCTCCTGACCCAAGCTCAGCACCCTTTCTGCCGTACCCCCACCCCTCCTAGGTACCTGCCGGGCCATAAGCCCCTCTCATCAAGCCCTGAGCTCACGTAGCCACCTATTCAGGCACCTGTTGCAGGGCTTCACGTGCAGCACGCTTTAGCCTCTGTCACGCTGACGCCAGGTGGCCTTTCCCAAGAGATCTCTGACCATTGCTCCCCAGTGCAGTATGTTGTCGCCTGGGCTGTCTGGGGCAAGTCCTGCCTTAGCCGCCAACTCGCTCTGCGACCGTGGATGCTAAATTTCCCCACCTGTAAAATGGCATACGTTGTACTTACACCAGGTGGTGGCTGGCAGAATTGAGTGAGTTCACAAATGCCTGGCCCATTCTGAGTCTTCAATAAATGTTAGCTCCTACCCTTAATGACTTCCCATTACTTTTAAAATAAAGACCAAAATCTTCAGCCAAGCCCCTGCGTGAGCTCTCCATATTGCTTCCCCCTCCCTTTGTGTACCATTGCTGTACTGGCTTTATAGCAATTCCCTGAATGAGCAGATCGCTCTACCCCATACCATGTTTCCTACCTGCTAAAAACCCGCCAGCTCAAACATCTCTTCCAAAGAGAATCCTTTCCTGATTTCCCCTGCCCGAGGCCCCTGATTCAATATCCTTCAGCACGCTCATCTTGTCATTATGCTTTTAATTGTGCAGTTAATTAGTGTTCACCTTCCATGCTAGACCATAAACTCTGTGATGTGCAAGAGGCTGTTTGCTTTTGTGCGCCCCGCCCCCAGCAGCAACTGTCTTTGTTGTGTATCTGGCAGGCAGGCAGTGTTGGTGAGTGAATGAATAAACGACCATTCAGTCTAGTTTCTTGACATTCAGTGATCTAATACTTACTTTTCTTTGAAAGCACATGAATTGAGTACTATTGAAAGAATGACTTTCCATGATGGTGGTGTATACACAAATTTTAGCCAGATTTTTATATCCTACCTGAGTTGTCTTTATTCCTCCAGCAGCCTAGTTACCTTTGCTCTAAACAGACAGTATTTATGACTTTGAACTACCATGTGTTGAGGAAAGAGGAGGAAGATGATCCATTTCAAAAACGCTGAGAATAGGAACAGGATTATCAGCTGGTAGCAGCTGAAATTGGGAAACCTCCTTAATGATCTCATTGGGGTGGCCCTCCATGCCACCTGCCTGACAGGCCCCAAAGCTGGGATTCGGGGATCACTTTACTCAGGAATATGGTTCTTACACCTGTGATGTCATGGTTGTCACCAGCCTGTCCCAGCCACAGTGTAGCCAGCGGTGAGGATGGACTCAAGCTGCCTACCAGAGGTGGTGATTGGCCTTGAGGTTATTAGCTGGTGTTTTTAGACTGAACTTAAAACCCAGACCATGGAGTTAAGGACCCACAACTTTTATTTGTGTGCCAAAGGTACTTCAGATGGCTGGTGTGTCTATGAACAAATGAAGAGTGCAAAGGAAGAATGGAACTTTGTAGCACATGTGAGCTGATTCTAGCATGCATGTGCACACAGTGATTTAAATATTTGATAACCCTTGTGGTTAGCTTATGTGTAGTGAAAAACGAAATGCTGACTTGTGAGGTACAATTACTTTTGACTCTAAAATTGAAATCCTAAAAATGTAAATGGATAATACCTAAGGGTGAGGTAAGAGGAAGTAATTTGTATGTTCTGTTTTAGTTTAGAATATGGAAGACACCCCCCTGACTTGAACCAGCTGGTTTTGAGCACTAGCCAGCAGAACCCTGCACGCACGGGCGAGCACACTGGCCCTGCTCCTCTGTGACTGTGGAGGATCCCTGCCTGCGACCAGGCTTCAGCCTTGGTGAAGATGAGCACTTTGAGCTGTGGAATTCACACAAGTTAACCTTAATGTGCAAAGAATGCCAAGAGTCCCCACAGTGGGGGATGCTCAGTGAGCAACACCTCTGCATCTCCCTGGCCTCTCACGGAAGATGCCTCACGTTCTTGCCAGTGATCCTATGTGTGTCATGGGGAGGTCAGGTGGCAAAAAGGGAGTAGGATGGTCACCACATGTTTCATATCCCTAGTCACGTCACCCGGCGGCTCAAGCATCTTGCCTTTTGTTGCAGAAACTGCTTTTGCATGAACTCAGTCACCTGGATCTAACATCCAGGTTCTAGAGTTTTCTGTGTAACTAGCACCATCTTTTCTTTTGTCCAGACATTGTAACGTAGTAACATTGAGATGTCACAAGTTCTCAGTTAATGTTATAACTATGTAGTGTCAGGCATCTCTGGTGGCAGGAGGGGACGAGCCAGGGCCTACTGTAGATTGGAATATGAAAAAGCCCATATGTGATGCCTAAAGTTGTTAGTTTCTAAGACTTCCTGAACTCCCCTGAAATATTAATGTAAAGTGCTAATGGAGTATGCTGTTCAGTTATTTTGTGAATTTTGGACCCATCCCTTTATGATTCTTTTACTTTCCAAGCTATTGGCATGGTGCACAGTAAATACCCAAAGTAGGAGTGAATTTGAATTTGTAGGTCTGGAAAGTTACATGTGGCACAGTATCAGAGCATAAGCTGACCATTGCCGCCATCAGAACCTGTGGCCTTACATAAAGGGATGTTGCACGTTAAGCTTTCCTTAGCTTAAGTCTCCTGCTCTGAATTTGAGGATGTTGTCTGCTGGAGGACTGTCTCATGAAGTGTCCTTTGATATATTTAATGTTCTTCCTTTCATGATGACACAGACCGTGTTCCTGCCTTTACCACACCTGGGAGTGGATCACTTTCAGAGATCATGGGCTCCACCACACCTCCCTGAAAGCTTCCTTAATAAGGCAGGAAGCTGTGCAGATACCTTGGAGATAAAGAAATGGTTTATGACTTAAACCATTTGTATTTCCACTTCCTTGATGTTGCATTGTCTAGGTCAGGGAATGGCCGGAATACCTTTGTGAACTAAAATAAGCTCTGACCTGGGCATCCAGAGGCTGGGCTTCTGGCCCCGTGTTGGCCATTGCCAATGGCCCTGAGCTAGCTGATACTGACCAGGTGTGGTGCTGGGCAAACCAAGAGGGAAGCAGGATTCTGGGAGGGCCCCTCTCCCTGAGCTCCCCTTTCCTTACCTGCCGCCTTAAGACTTGATCTTCGTGGCTTCTCCAGATCTGAAATTCCATGATTCTGACGTTCTCAGGCATCTGTACTTTTACAGTATAGACAGATTTTTCATGTATACACTCCTAAGAAAAATAAAACAACATAATGTTTGAGCACTGGTTATATGCTGGGCCCACTTCTGTATGCTTCCGTGGACACTCTCTCTGAATCCTCTCCTCAGCCTGTGTGCAGGGGGAGGCTCGGAGGCCCAGCAAACACGGCTCAGGGTGAGCCTGGGGGAGGCAGATCCAGTAGGTGGTCTGGGACAGGGTTGTGGAGGATGCAGAGCTGGGCTCCGAGATGGGCTTCTCAGGAGGAGCGGGGAGGACGAAGGGTGGGGTGTCTTGGGTAAGAGCAGACTGAGCAGAGGTGAGGAGGTGGGAGTAATGAGCATGGCGGCTTACGAGAGAGCAAAGCTGTTAACTTGATTGCTTTAAGAGGTGTGTCGGAGAGGAGGGTGGGGTCAGATTGTGGAGCCCCTGGAGGTTAGGCTGGGGCATTTGGCCGTGGTGGTAGGATGGGGAGACATCTGTTCCAGTGGGGGGTTAAAGAAGAAGGGTGCAGGGGGCTGAGCAGGAGCAGAGCCTAGAGTCTGAGGCACTAACGTTTGGCCTCTGTTCTTTTGGGATTGGAAGTGGCTCAGAGTAAGTGAATGGAGCTGCTCCTCTCCTTTTACCTACTCGCCTCTGGTAAATGTGTGATACAGGCCTTACAGCCCTTTATTCTAGGCCCAGCCTTGAGTTCCCTGAGGGGGAGGGGGCAGGGCTGAGACTCCCCGTTCCACCAGTATCTCATACAAGGCCTGATCTTCATCCTGGTCCACACGAAGCATTAACACAGACGAGTTATTTAGACTCATAATAACTCCATATAACGGGTACATTCTTATCCCTCTGTTACTGATAAAGAAATAATGGCTGAGAGAATTTAAATAACTTTACAAGATCCAATAACAACCGTGGGAAGACACTCAGCCCTGTTAGAGCAAACTGCTCACTATGGCCCTGCAAGGAGAGGAGATGGTGCCCACCTTTGTAGGTGAAGCCTGAAATCGGGGAAGTTACTTTCTTCTTTCCTTCCTTTAATTTTGAGATCTATTTCCAAAAAATCACCCTTTTAAAGCATACAATTCGGTGGTTTTTAGGGATGCTCGCCAGGTTGTGCAGCCATCACCACTCTAAATTCTAGGACATGTTCATTACTCTAGGAAGAACCTCTGTGCCAACTAGCAGTCATGCCACTTGCCCCTCCCCCAGCCCATGGCAAACACTGACTTTCTGTTTCCTAGACAGTCCATGTAAATGGAATCACATACTATATGGCCTTTTGTGTCCAGCTTCTCTCCCCTGTTTACCTGCATTTGCCTGTGTTGTAGCATGTGTGCACACTTCACGCTTTATGCTGTTGAGTAATATTCCATTGTGTGGCTACGTGGTGTATCTACTTATCATAGGACGTAGGGGTTGTTCCCACTTTGGGGCTATTATAAACAATGCTGCCATGGACCTTGGTGTACAAGGCCTTGTGTGGACATGTGTTTCTTGGTATGTGTTTCTCTGGAAAACACATATACTGGAAAGCTACTTTGAAAGAGATGAAACAAAAAATCAAAGAGATCCTGTTTTCAGTACTCTTCCTGTGTTTGTGTCTAGTTCCCACTAGTGGCTGACTTGTTTCATGATGACAGAGACACTGTCCCTGCCACCACCACACCTGGGAAGGGCTCCTCTTCAAAGATCCACGTTCGCTCTGCCAGGCCCCTGCTGAAAGCGCCCAACAAGGAGCACAAGAAAACAGTGGGCCACCAGGTCAGCCAAGGGCTCATGGCGGGAAGCTGGGGGCTGTGGCTCACGCGGCAGGGCTAGCTGCAAGTCAGAGGGAGGCCACAGTGGCCTCGGCATCCACAGCTGCCCAGCCCAGTCTCTGTGCCCTCAGAGGAAGGGAACTGCAAAAACCTTCTCTAGAGGGAGCAGACAGGAGCAAGGATGGGGTGACTGTACCCCAAGCAGTGCTTTCAACCTCTGCGGTAGGACCCTGTTACAAGACCACAGACAGCTGAGGGGTCTAGATGTCTGCAGGGTGGAGAGGTAGGGTTAAATAAGCCTGGGGAGCAGAAAACTAAAAAGCAGCTTCTGCTGAGGGATCTTCATGGGCTCTGATGTCCAGTGTGCCTCCCGAGGGAAGACGACATCCACCAAGCCCCTGGCAACCACCAGCATTTTGGTTTCAGTGGATTTGCCTGCTCGGGACATGTCACACTAGTGTAATGATTTTCCAGGCTGCCCAGGCACCTTATGTCAAGGCTCAGTCAGTGGCCTCGGAAAAACAGGCCTCCAGTGACAGTGGTCATCTCTCACACCTCGTGGCATTACTCACCTTTTATCTTCTGTGGTCCATGACACTGAGGCACATTACGGGGAGTAGCTCCCCGTTTAGTCTGAGGAATCCTGATGCCAGGAGACAGGAGGGACTTGATTCTGGTCATACAGCAAGGCAGGAGTGTCAGAGCTAGAAAGTGACCCCAGGTCTCTGAATTTCTTTCTATCCTCCTGGAGTAATGATAACCAAAACATTAACAGTCTAGAGGCATTTCTATTTATTACACACCCACGAAGTGCTAACTAACCAGGTACTCCCTGTCTTCCCAGTTCCGCACCTCCCTGCACCTGCTCATGGAGACCCTGAACGCCACGACGCCACACTACGTGCGCTGCATCAAGCCCAACGACGAGAAGCTCCCCTTCCAGTAAGTACCTGTGTGGTTGTTGCCAGGCTCCTCTCTCCAGGAACTGGGCTGCTCAAGCCCAGCCTCTTCGTGCTTTGTTAGAAGTTCAGGTGGAACAAGCAGGCCCAGCCTCGCAGGGGTCTGCTGTCTCTATCAGGATGGATAGTTGGTCTTTCAGTTGGCAAATGGCTTATATGCCATATATGAGCCTGAAGACATGTACCAAGTTCCACCTGTCTGCTGTCCAGGAGAATTCAAGAAAATGAAAAGACACAGTTCCCCAATCCCACAGAGCTTACAGTGGTGTAGAGAAATATATGTGCTTAGAGAGCCACCTAAAAATAGGTCATTAAGTACAGATGTGTGTCTCACAGAGAATGTTTAATTCGGAGATGGGAGGATGGCCGAAGTGGTCAGAAAAGGCTTCTTCTGTTGAGGAAACTTGACCTCAGATAATGTGTCTAGTGGTAAGTCGAGGAGATGGCCCTGTCACTCATGTCCCCTCTAGCATTGAGCTTCCAGAGTTATCCACACTTGCTTACCTTCTCCTCATGCCTCAACCTACTCTGATCACATTCTACCTCTACCTTGAAAATTTTTGTTCCATTCTGGGCCCCACATGGCTGACTCCACCCAAATCTACATAACAGTGACTCTTCAATATCTGTGTACATCTCTGGTTTCTGCCAAATTCCAGACCAGAATTTCTGAATGCCTAGTGCAGCTTCATTGGCCACCTCACATTCAACATTTCTGAAGCCAGACTCCTTCCCGGCCCCCCCCGCCCCTGTGCCCCCAAGAATGGTTCTTCTTTGTTGGTCTGCCTTGTAGAAAATGACATAACCGTCTCCTGACATCTCATCCACTCACCACACCCGTTCTCCCAAACCGGAAACCCGAGGGTCCCTCTCGACTAATGCTTCCCAGTAGAACTTTCTGTGATAATGGAACTGTTCTGTAATCTGCATTGTGCAACACAGTAGCCACAAGTCACAAGTGCTGCCCAGTGCTTGGCTAGTGTGATTAAGGAACTGAATTTTTTATTTCATTTGAATTATGTTCGAATATTTATAGGTGGCTTGTCTACCATATTGGAGAACATAATCCTTGATTCTTCCTTCCGTTCTCCCCAGTGTCCAATCGTTATCAAATCCCCAGGGAGTCTCCTTGAAAATTTCTCACATTTCTCCCTTTTCCTTCTACTATCACCTTGTTTTAGACTCTCTCTATTTCTTGCCTGGAACTCCTGTAAGCCTTTTGAACATTCTCTCACTTAACCTCTGCAGCTGCTGCTTCCATTACCCTGAGCCTCCATCCACATGTGCTATTTCTATTTCCTCTGGCCAGAGGAGGTATATTTTTAAATTTTTTAAACACTTCCCGTCTTTCTAATTTCTTTTTCAGTCTAGCACAATTTCTTTCTGTGAAATAATTTACGTTGGCAACTCTAAGAATGAATATCTGAGCTCCACTCTGCCGTCCCTATCATTTAATAAAGTGACTTCTACTCAGATGGGTCTTGTGCTGGAAAAAGGTTAGGAAGACAGTATCGAATCAGCTTTTTTTGAAGCATGCTGACTGTTCACTCTTTTCCCCTCCTCCGAATTTCCAAGACATGCTTAGGAATTCGCCTCATGTGGCATCTGTGTACCAGCTGACTCCAAAAGAAAAGAGGCTGTTAGAAGAGCAGAGTGCGTGAAAGACTCAGATTATGTGTGAAGGGCAGGAGCAGCGGGCCGGGCCCCAGAGAGAAGAGTTGAGGGATGGGTACCAGTTCTGCCCGCAGCCAGCTGTGACCTTGGGCACTTAGTTTATCCAAAGCTGGCACCTGCCATGTGCCAGATTATCTTGCTTGGCCTCCCCTCCCAAATGAGAAAAAATGCTGGAGGCATTCAAAAGGACTCTCTAGTCCTAATATTCCATCTTTTAAGACCTTCCTTTGCCCTCTATCAAAATCTTCCTCCTAATAAAGTAGGGAGAATCCTGAACCAAGCCAGAACACCTGGACTCTAGTCCAGTCTCTGCTACCAATGGTTTGGCTAATCACATACTCATCCTGTGCTGTCTCACTTCTTCAGCTATTAATTATGGTTAAAAAATAATTATCCTGATGAAAGAATTCATGGAGATAATGAATGGGAATTATTTGTAAGAAGTAAAAAACGTTTATATGCTTAAAATGTATAATTATTAACATTATTCTAGAAGAAAGGGGTTGTATCCCTCCTCCCATCCCTTAAGCCCTGGCCACCTCAACCTCAGCCCTCTTGACATTTGGGGCCAGGTAATTGTGGGAGGCAGTCCTATGCCTTTTAGTATGCTAGTAGTATCCCCACCATTGTGACAACTAAAAATATTTTAAGACATTGTCCCATTCCTTGAAGGACAAAATCACCCCCAGTGGAGAACTGACATCCTACACTAAACTCTTTGATAGCAGCACTTGTATAAAGGTCATCTTCCCTGTGCTGCTTCCTTTATTCAAAAACCATCCAGCACACCCTCTACTCCCTGGATGGGGACCAGGACAGATAGAATGACGGTAAGATGTGCCCGTCATCCCTAAGGAATGGCCAGTCATAAATGACTGGTGACAGCATAGAAGTGGGGGGCTGTGGGTGGTGGTCCTACACAAGTGCTGCAGGAACAGAGATGCGAGAGTGGTCAAGTGTCCAGGCGGCCCAGGCAAGTGTGCTGACCTGGGATCGCTTGTCGGGGGAATTCCCTGAAGGCCACTGGTCTCAGAAGCAGGCAATCTTGAGAGTCTAGGAGTCCTGACGTACAACTGCAGAACGCGCAGAGCTTGAAGGAATGGGTGAGAGCCTGCAGCCGGTGCAGAAATTGATTAAGTGTCTTGTGACTGCTGAGACGAGCCCAGTTCTACCACCAGGGGTTCTTCCTCTGCATCCAGTAAGCTTCTGGCTCTGCGGAACCTGTACGTTTTCTTGAGGTGGGGGGGAGTATGACCATGCTCCTCAGCACTCTGACCCTGTACATGTTTGGTGACTTGTAGTTCAGAGTTAGGTGCTGTTCCTCCTCACCATGGTCCTCAAAGTTTAACAGGTGAAAGGGCTGGTTTCCACCCAGAGTCACCAGTAAGAAATGCAGGGAGGAAGATGGAGAGATGCATTTGACAGGGAGTTTTATTATTGACAAGATAAGATGAAAATACAGAAGCCTGGCTGGCTTTCTGTGGCCCCTGGGGAGTGTGAACAAGGAAGGCTGATGGCAGTATCTCGGTATAGTGTCCGTGTGATTTTCTAACACTTCCTGTCTTTTATATCACTAGTCAGTACCACAAACCAATGGATTGTAATCGGGCAGATAGTCTCAGCTCCTGTCATGTAAGGAAAATGAGCTACAGCAAGGCTGTGTTTTGCCCAAGTGGCAGTAGTTGTTGGGGGCCAGACCAAGTCCTACTGCCCTTGCTCGTCTCCTCTCAACACACGGGAAGAGAACATAAGAGCAGGGAAGTGATTTTGCTGAGGTATAGTGAAGCAGGGAAGGGACGAAAGGGAAGAAAGTTAAAGCTGAGTTCAAAACTGATTAACCTTCCATGGGCCCAGCCTGGTATGTGGGGTGAGTGATGCAGCTGCCCCAACTTCCATCTGGGACTTACACCTACTTGCAGCAAGCTGCTTCCTGGGCAGTAGACAGGACCTAGTCCAGAGCTAAGATAACACCTGAGCTCAGACATGATACAGGGGTACTGGAGCAGGGAGAGATGGGGGTGCCAGGCAAGAGCATAGTCTCTCTGAGGGGGGAAGAGCTTGTCAGGGAGCACTGGCTCATTCTGTGCTGAGGGAGCACCTGGAGGAAGGAGGGATTGCAGCTGGAACCACAGGCCACGAAGGACTGCAGGTCGCAGGTGCCTGCCAGGCATTCTGCCCATCCCCACTGTGCAGTGGGATGAATTTGCCCCACAGAGGGAAGAAGCTCATACCCTGGAGGACGGGTGCAGAATGCCACAGGGGAGAGTCTGCAGTGTGCAGAAAACCACCTCTGAAGCTCAGGTGCATCCACCCTGTGATCGTAACTCAGGACTCAACTGACCACATTAGACACGAGAGGGGCAGCACCTGTGAGCAGCAGAGCCTGCATCCCAAAGGCGGCCCCGGACGGCCTTCATGTCCCGCGGAGCTGCTTGGGAGACTCAGTGCTCCCATACCACAGTGACCCTGGCTCTGCGCTGCGTGCTGGGAGGCCTCAGAGCCTGCAAGCCAGTGGCATGGTGAAAGCTCAGCATGCATGTGCCCTTTGTTTCTGGTTATCCTATGAGACCCTCCACTATGGGGCTTTGTCTCTACTTAAAAAGGTTAGGTTAACTCCTCTGAAGTAACCCCTTGCCCAGGACTGCAGCCTTCAGTGCTGGTTGGCCTTACACAACTGGGTGCCGTGGGTACCTGGGACTGGAGGGATGATGGAGCCTCTGTGGAGGAGCTGGGTGCTGAAAGAGGGTAGGGGTGGGGCCGCTGAGGAAGTCCGAGTGAGCGCAGGCCTGGGGGAAGGTGGGCGACTCCTGGGACACTGCCCCAGGGCTGATGTGGAAGGCTAGGAGTTCCTGGCATTAAGGTCAGCGTGGCGTCACTCGGAATGTGCCTGCTGACCCAGGCCATCTCAGGTCGCTGTCTGCCTTGATGGACTTCTGAGTCCCTGGCATAAGGAAGCAATAAGAACTAGAGGCTAAGCCGCTCACAGAGGAAAGATGGGAGGACAGAGTCTCCAATGGAGAGAGGCGAATGTGAGGCTGGCTGACTCCAGGCCAGATATCCTGCAGGGCTCAGACTCCTGCGTGGGCCCGGCTGCTGGGAGAAGAACAGCTGGGGTTGTCAGGGAGCATGGCAAACAAGTGTGGTGACAGGTTGCCCGCTGGGATCCTAGGGGTAAAGAAGCTGCCATCTCTATTTATCCAACATGGCAGGCCAGCTGCCCGGCTGCCCCACCAAGGTGTGTGCCAAAGCCAGCATAATGCCCAGGACCTGGACTCAGCCTGTGGGCCTCACCCCTGCCCTCCCACTTTCCAGAGTGGAAGGAGCAGAAGAGGCACAGCCCCAGGCTTTAGCTGAGCTGCATGCCAGCCAGGACGAAGCATTTATTCCTCCCCCATTTCTCCTGGAGAGGGGCAGTAGTCAGCAAATAGTAAATAGTGGTTAACTGTAGTTCAGCTTAATTCTGTCTCCATGAAGACTGCATGATTATTCCAGCCAACCCTGACATCTCCCCTGTGGTTTCTTTGCACACTTGTGTCATGTCCCTCACACGTCGCCTTGTAATGTGCTGCTGTGATGCACTTTAAGTGGGGACACTCTTGGAAGGCCCACCATGTCTGACTTTTTATTCTAGAGTCCTGCTCAGTATATATGTTGGAATAAATACTGGGTTTTCAGTGCTAAACTTAGCATTTTAGGGCATATGTGTTGTTGAAGATGTGGCTCATATCTCTAAGATGGGAAAATAAAGTTCTTCATCTCTGATTCTTAACAGCCGTTATAACAGCCAGCAATATGTGCGCCCAAGTGTTGTGCCAGGTGCTGTTCTAACTGCTTTTATGTGCCATTACATTTAATCTTCACACTAACCCCATAAAAAGGTGGGTGGAAATAATAAAGGAAGGCTCTGGAGAGGAAACAGGAATGAGTCTTGGAGGGTGGACAGGATTCAGGTAGGCAAAGAGGAAGATTACAAGTGAGAATGCAAATGTGCCCAGAACTGAGAGACTGGCATGGCTCACATGCCTGCCAGTGAGTGTCTCTCAGTCAGTGCTTGGCCCCTAACCTTGAGCTCAGTCGTGCATGATGGTCTGAACCTCGGTGCAGGAAGAGTTTGTCTTTCTCCTGTTCTATTTCTTGGCCAGCATAGCCACTCATTGCTCATCTTGTTGTTTTTGCAGCTTTGACCCAAAGAGAGCAGTGCAGCAGCTCAGAGCATGTGGGGTGTTGGAGACCATCCGCATCAGTGCTGCCGGCTACCCATCCAGGTAAACGTGCCCACCTGGGCAGCAAGGGTTGGGCTCCACAGGGCACCTTTTTATGTGCTGTCAGCCACAGACAGATGCTCCCACACCCAAAAATGTTCCCAAACCCTGACAGCTGAGCAGGATGCTGACTGATGGGAGAATTTCAGTTTGGTCTGGGAAATATGGGAGTCAACAGTGACATCCTCTTGGGCAGCTTTTTGAATTCAAATTGGGTGATGAGCTAGCTAGAGGCAGTTGAAAGGGAAGTTCTCCTTTACTCCCACCTTGTCTGTGTTAGCTTTTGTGTGTGAGTGGTAAAATACAGATAATACTCTTAATCGTTTTAAGTGTACAGGAACCCCCTGTCCGAAGAAGTCCTGTATGTGTCAGGAGATGGAGCCAGATGGGGAGGAGGACTCCCCACCTCCCTGCCATCTCACCTGGCACTTTGCCAGTGCAGTTGAGGAACCCTTTCATATGCAGTGGTTAATTACCCAGAAACAACCATCAATAGTTGCCAAACATGAGGCCTGGGAAGGAAGTTGCTGGAATTAGGAATTTGTATTTGACCTGGAAAGTACAAGAACTGTCACTAACCTGCAACCTCCAGGCAGTGTTTCAAAAGCCGCAGGCTCAGGCACTGTTCAGAATGGTCTGCCCGAGCCGGGGCGGATGGCTGTTAGTTTTCCTCATCCGCACGTCTCCCCACCGAGGGGAAAGGGAGTGTCCTGGAGCTTCATCTCACTGTTGGGCCTTGTGGTCTGAACACAAATAGCTGACAACTTCGATTAGTGAGGTTCTTAGATGAAGCCCTGCATTCCTTCTCCCTGTCTGCCTTGTGGTATCCACCGTCAGCCTTTTGATTGAGGGAATGGGACTCAGGCTGTGGGTGCCAAGATTCAGCCTTAGTTCAAAGCACTGTAGTCTGGCCAGTCAGCCCACCTTTCAGTGGCTGCTTTGAGCACAGGGCTCAGATCAGGCATAGCTCACTCAACTTTAGGACTTGACAAGGACCTTAGGGAGCTGCTGAGCCACTGGTTTCCAGACTGTTCTACAGACAGGTGGGCTCCATGCCTGCTCCCAGCTCTTCTGTCTGCTGTGCTCAGGAAGTTTTCTGCAGTCTGCCTTCTTTAGTCCAGTGTTTCTCAAAACTTCATCGCAACCCATTTGTGGGTCAGGAAATCAATTGAATGGGTTGTGACTAACATCTTGTTTGTTTAATGAGATAACTTGGGATGGAAAATATAAGGTTTCAGTTTGTGGTTAAAAGGTATTGTGGCATGACCTTACTTCAGAGTTATATCTTGGCATAGATATGTCATTTCAATGCGCTTTCACAAGTGAGGCCCTGCGAAGGAAGCTCATGGTCACCAGGTAGTTGGTGGTTGAGTCAGGACTAGACCCACCCTTCCTCCGCCCTGCTAGGTGGTGGTTGCCAACCATCTCATTGTTCACATCAGGAAAGTGTTGCCATCCAAACAGGTTTGTCAGAGAAATAAGGGTAGGGTAGGATCCCGTGGTCTGACCGCCCTGGGGCTGGGCCCAGACCTGAGGCCTGGCGTCACGCTGCTCCCTGCCCTGTCCAGCTTGTAAACCGAAGTCAGGACTGCATGACTGCAGCCTGGACCAGAGGCAAAGGAGCCTTAGGCTTTGGAGTGAGGCCTGAGTTCCAGCGCCTGCCCCCATACTCCTTGGTTGGGTGACCTCAGGCAAGTTAATTGCTGAGCCTGGGTTCCCATATAGTTAAGTGGAATGATCATACTTACTTCATAGGTTGTTGCAATAAATGATAATGCATCTGAAGTCCTCAGCACAGTATGGTGACTTAAACACTTAATAAAATGCTTATTACTCATCCAGCATAAACTGCATATTATGAGCCTAATTATCTGGGTAGAACATGTCTGTACTGGAAATTTTTAGCTTTGTTTTCATGATGTGTCTGGTCACCTCAAAAGAACAATTTAAAGTTCTCAAAACTCTCCAAGCAGATAAGGAGGTCAGTCTAAGAATTAAAGTCGCCAAACCAGGTGGAGCTGAGATGTCCCAAGTTAAGGGACATGTAAGATCCTTCTGCAAGAAACTCGGGGACTGAGTGCCTAGCAGTACCTGTGCTGAACAGGCAGAGGCCTGGAGGTGAGCAGAGAAACCGGGTGCTCATCTTGGCACATGACCAATTGTGTGATTGGTGCTAATGGCGGGCCTGTCAAGTGGGAGGCATCAACATTGGGACTGTGCCAAGCAGGGAAGAAGAAACAAGGGAAGCGTTCTGAGGCAGAAGGAGCCTTGGCGACCCATCTCAGTATATAAAGGAACATCTGTTCCACAAACAACTCTCCAACAGACTGAATAATAGTCGGACAAGTGACTTGGAGGCAGGGTGAACCTCTTTCCTTGGAGAATGTCAAGGAATGGCTAGAAGGCTGTGGGTCTGGTACGGTTAACGTAGACCATGCTTCAAGCAGATCTCTGTGAAATCAGAGTGACAGTGTGTAAGTGTAAGCCACCCACACTTCCACTGGCTACTGTACAGTAAAATCATGTTTCGGGAGGTGGAAGAGGTGGGGGAGAGGGCTTTACGTCCATGGCCTCCCATGAGCTTTTTGTAGGATGAGAGTTTCTCACCTATGTGGTATCTTGCTCTCCTGGTAATCTGTACTCCTCCTTGTCCCATCCTGTATTTAGCATCCAGCTCCATGCCGGCTGCTGGGAGGATGTAAGTCGTGGCCACTGCCCACTAGCAGCTCACAGTCGAGGAGAGGTGATACAAGCTTAGAACAGAGAACAACATATCGGGGGCCAGTGTGAGAGGAAACTGGAAGGAGGTGAGGTCTGAGCTGGTGATTTAGCCCATCTCTGCCAGCTCAGTCACCACCTACCATTCCATCCCCCAGCCAGAGCATGCCAGGTACGCCCTTTGCCTCATCCAGACAGCCTCTTCCTCAGCAGCTGGAAGAACGCCTTCCCTTCAACTCCTTAGGCCCATATGGAGAAAGGCGTCTCCTACTGCTCTTTGCACCTGGCTGCAGTCAGAGCTGCCAGTAAAGTCAAGGTGCTCATTGACGTGCTGGCTTCTTAGAAGGCAGCGGATGCGTGTCTTCCCCTGCCTCCCTCATTATTTGAGACTTCTTTCTAGCAGAAAATTGCAAGAGCATCTGTACCGTTTGTTTTTATAATTGTAGGTATTGTGGAAATTTCAGGAAGGACAGAGAGGCTATTATTTTCTGGTATCACAAAAAATGGTAATGCTGTGATATAAATGTTTGGACTTAGATCCAGGACACTGCCTTATATTTGCTGTCTTAGCCGAGTCTGCTGAAGGGTCAAAGAGAGGATACCCTCCCCAAACTGCCATTTGAAATACTAACTTTCAGAAAGAGGCACCATAATTTTGTGGCACGTTTGTTAGTACTGAGAGATGAAGTTGAATCATCCATATTATTTCATTTAGATCCCTAATTCTCTTTTATCTTACCACCTCTCCCTCAGCCAGGGCACCAAGGGTAGCATTTATTTGCAAGATGAGTGGTGGGAAGGAGGGCTGTGAGGCAAAGCTACCTGTGATAGGTAATAAAAGATTACACCTGTAATTTTACTCCACACTGTGCTTAACTGTCTGCACCTGCCAACCGTGGGAACCACTGGGAGTGACCTCGCTGGTTAAAAAAAAAAAAAAGTGCTACATAAGCACTTCATCCAGGAGATTGGTGTGTGTCTGCTGTAGCTGTGGTAAAGCAGGGGAGGCTTTCCACATACTCTCTGTCCGTCAAGATGTTAGCTATTGAAGGAAATACACTAGTAGCGTCTGTGCTTATGTCACGGGGTAGAGTCAAGCAGTCATTTTGTTGACCTGACTTTGGGAGACCATCATAGGACTAGAGGGTCCTGAGCAGACTGGAGGTCACAGAAAGCAATCAGTTCGTTGGCTGCTGAGGCACATCAGAGGGATTTCACTTGATTAGCGTGTCCAGTAAGCACAACTTTGCACAGTTCTTTCCAAAGGAAACATCAGTGGCTTCTTCCATGAGGGGAACTTGCATTTCCCTACATTTCTCCCACTTATGTGGCCAAAGGGCAAATAACACTTCACAGTGAAGCAAAGGGAAAGAGAATGCAGAGGCTTGTGACGAAGTGTCCAGAGGCCTCTTCTCCGGGAGCGCGAGCAGAGGGCGGTCCTTTTCAGCTGGGCTTGCAGGCTGAGTTCCTTCAGCCAACCTGCTGATGCCCCGGCAGCAGAATTCTTAGCGCTGGTCTGAGGCTAATACATGTCAGTGCCCCCAGAGGTCAGCAAGCTGGAGAGCACAGATGCAAAGCTGCAGGCCCCCTGACCCTGCCCTCAGCTTCAGTACACCTGTTTTCATCCTCCCTAAGAATTATGGCTCTCTTTGAGTCTGATTTAAAATGAAAATGTATCACTCAATTTGAAATGTGCTGCAGCAGCTAAGAAATATGTTCATTATCACGTACATAAAACACTGTGATAAACACACCATCTGGGAGAAGCTCGTCCACCTGTCACCTGGCTCCCCTTGATGTGTGTCAGGCCTGTCTCCCTCTTTGGGGTTCAGAGCAGCTTTGTATCCCAGGGGAATTGTGAAGCGAATTCCATTTAGCCAGAACAAAGTGGGGGAGGACTACTGGAATATGCAATGTTTATATTTTTTAAGAAGTTCATCATAAATCTTCATCTCATCATGTTCACTTTGGAAAAAGTGGTGCTTTCTGAAAAGATTTCTACTACTGTACTAACTTCCAAACCGGGCCCCATATGGACTAAATAGTGTGGGATTGTAGAACTAGATAGAGGCTTGAGAAATTGCTTGGTTCACTTTTCTATTTAATCATAATTAAACATACACATAGTTACCTGCCTTGCTATTAAAAATCTCCCCGAGAGAGAATAATGTAGAAGTTATTTTGGTGTGAATAACTCTTTATCTCAGGATCTTAAAGCCTTTAGTTCTGGCTCTTTAGTTGAGGATTTTCAACCAGGGCTGCACATCACAGTCATGTGAAAACAT